AATAGAGGCCTCCCTCCTAGCGCTATAAGACAGCTATACTTAGCATGCGTTTCTAGCATTGCAGATTATTGTTGCCAGGTCTTCTAGAAACAACAAGCAGGAATAACAAAGTAACTCTAAGGACTGCAGAATCTTGCCCTAAGAAAAATCCTAGGAACCTTTAGGACCTCTCCTATAGCACCACAGGAGACAGAAGCAGCACTTCCTCCCCCTGCTATAAGACTAAATACTACTCTAAGAAAGTACAACTTTAGAGCTAGGAAGCTACCTAAAGACTAACGTACTCCACGGGTGAGTCGTTCATATGGGTGAGTCGTTCATACTGCCAAGACCACACCAACATTCCACTTCACAACGCAATGCCTCAACAACAACACAAATCTAAGCCCTTTAAAGAAGCTGCAATACAGCTTGCGCTTCAGGCAGTTAAACAAGACGCGACGCTCACTCTGCGACGCGCTGCAGCTATATATAACGCGCCTTACAACACGCTACGCGATTGATACGCAGGACGCACTGCACGAGCCAATTGCACGCCAAAATCACGGAATATGGATCAGACTGAGGAGGATGTGATTGCTGAGTACATACTTAAGCTGGATGCCAGAGGATTTGCCCCTCGATTGGCTGCTGTAGCTGATATGGCCAATTCTTTGCGCGCTGAGCGTAATATGGCCTATGTTGGTATAAACTAGCCTAATTGTTGCAGCCAAAATAGGGGCAAAATGTACATACATTTGCACCCCTGAATTGGCTGATAAATAGGCATGATATGTGCTGCGACACACCCCCTCACGTCCAACCAGGACTGCATGATTAGAGGTGACACAACGCAGCAGAATGCCTAATGTGCTAAGTAGGTGAATCCTTCTTCGTGATGCTCTACACTATGCTCCAGATGGTAGCCCTAGTTAAGCAGGTACCGTGCCAAGGCTCGGCTATGGTCACCCATGGAACACGAAAATCCATTCAACCTTTGCTTGCGCAGCTTCAGCGTCCGGGCTCATAACTGTTGCAGCCAAAATAGAGGCAAAATGTACATACATTTGCACCCCTGAATTGGCTGGTAAATAGGCATGATATGTGCTGCGACACTAATACATTTGTTAATCGCCGCCCTAACCTCTAAGTTAAGTTTAATTGCAAGTACAACTACAAGAGAGCCCTGTGTGAGGACCCTAAGGTTATTAGGGGCTAGTTCCACCTAGTGGAGAATACTAAAGCTAAGTATGGCATCCAGGATGATGACACGTACAACTTTGATAAGACAGGCTTTATAATGGGCTAGATATTAACAGGAGCAGTTGTTACAGGCTCAGAGCGTCGTGGACGGCTAAAGGCAGTGCAGCAGGGCAACTGGGAGTGGACAACAGTTATACAGGGCATTAATGGCACAGGATGGGCTATTCCGCCCTTTATCATCTTCAAAGGCCACAACTACCTCTCTGCCTAGTACAAAGAGGACAATCTGCCCTATAACTAGGTTATTAGAGTCTCTAAGAACAGATAGACTACTAACTAGCTTAGTCTTAACTAGTTAAAGCACTTTAATGCCTATACAAAGACACGCACCTAAGGAGTGTACTGGCTGCTCCTTATTAACAGCTATAAGAGCCACAACTCCCTAGACTTCCAACAATACTGCAAGGAAGCAAACATTATCACACTGTGTATGCCTCCACACTTATCACACCTCTTGCAGCCACTAGATGTGGGTTGTTTTGCCCCTTTAAAGAAGGCGTATAGGCGCCAAGCTGAGGATCTCATGTGCAACACCGAACACCAACTTTTCTTAGTTGGAGAAAGGTCGATTTTCATCGATTTTTCATCCCAATACAACGAACATGCCTTCCTAATATCTATTTCCAGCGTCAGTTTTGTAGTGCAGGCGCTGGAACAGGCGCGCTGGCCATTGCAAGCTGAACAGAGTTGTGACCTGGTCTTAGTTGAGATGAAATCTCTGCAGTGGTCTGTGCGCTAATAGATTTAGACCGGTCGGAGGCAGCAGACAGACAGAGGAACAAATCGCCAGAGCAGCGGCTCTCTCCTTAGCTATATAGCTACTTGCCTTGCCAGCAATAGCTATATAGCTAGCCGCCTTATTACGAATACCCCCCTATCATAACTAGCTATACCGACCCCATATAGCTACTTGCCTTGCCAGCAATAGTTATATAGCTAGCCGCCTTATTACGAATACCCCCCTATCATAACTAGCTATACCGACCCCATATACCTAGACGAAATCGACTGAGCAACGGCTCAAAACCATCCCTATACGACTACTCTATCGAC